CTCTTGCGGGCGTGTACCGGCCCTTTCGCCTTTCTTGCCGGGTATGCGTTCCTTGCCTTTATTGGCTGGGATCCAGAGCCGGCGCTGTTACTTTGAAAAAATTAGAGTGTTCAAAGCAGGCCTGTGCTCTGAACATACTAGCATGGAATAACGCGATAGGACTCTGGTCCTATTTCGTTGGTCTTCGGGATTGGAGTAATGATTAATAGAGACGGTTGGGGGCATTCGTATTCCATTGTCAGAGGTGAAATTCTTGGATTTATGGATGACGAACTTCTTCGAAAGCATTTGCCAAGGACGTTCTCATTAATCAAGAACGAAAGTTGGGGGATCGAAGACGATCAGATACCGTCCTAGTCTCAACCATAAACGATGCCGACTAGGGWTTGGCGGATGTCTATTGGATGACTCTGCCAGCACCTTGTGAGAAATCAAAGTTTACGGGTTCCGGGCGGAGTATGGTCGCAAGGCTGAAACTTAAAGGAATTGACGGAAGGGCACCACCAGGCATGGAGCTTGCGGCTTAATTTGACTCAACACGAAGAAACTCACCAGGTCCAGGCATAGCAAGGATTGACAGATTGAGAGCTCTTTCTTGATACTATGGGTGGTGGTGCATGGCCGTTCTTAGTTGGTGGAGTGATTTGTCTGGTTAATTCCGTTAACAAGACCTCAGCCTGCTAAATAGCTACGCGGGGACCTTTCCTCGTGGCCAGCTTCTTAGAGGGACTGTTGGACGACTCGCCAACGGAAGTTTGACGCAATAACAGGTCTGTGATGCCCGTAGATGTTCTGGGCCGCACGCGCGCTACACTGATGAATCCAACGAGTCGCGCGCCCGGGTCGAAAGGCCCGGGTAACCTTCTTAAGGTTCATCGTGACGGGGATAGATTGTTGTAATTATCGATCTTGAACGAGGAATGCCTAGTAAGCGCGAGTCATCAGCTCGCGCAGATTACATCCCAGCCCTTTGTACACACCGCTTGTCGCTCCTACCGATTGAATGGTCTGGTGAAGTGTCTGGACTGCGGTGATCTCAGCGGTTTGCCGCTGGAGGTGCTGTGAGAAGTTCATTGAACCTTATCATTTAGAGGAARGAGAAGTCGTAACAAGGTTTCCGTAGGTAAAAATGCGGAAGGATCATTGGCACGTGAATGGCCGATCTTCGGGGTGTGGGACGCTGGCTTGCTCGCCCTTTTGCTGCCCTTTGCCCCCAGCCTCCCTGCATCCGCTTTTCTCTTCCGTTTCAGCACCATCCTGGGCTTAGTGCCCAGCTGGCGGCTGGCCCAGCGCAGAGGGGCGCGTGGTGTAGGTCGAGGGTGGGGGGAGTGGGCAGGGTCCGGGGCCTTGTCGCTTTGCTCCCCATTCATCCCGTCTCGCCTCCGCAGGTTGTTACCTCGGCGCAGCCACACTCTCGACTTCTTGTCGGGATGGCGGTTGGTCCGGGCACGGACAGCCCTGGAGGAGGGTCAGGGGCGGGATGTCGGGTGGTGGCGGCTGTCCTCGGCCTGCGTACCCCCGCTCCTTCTCGTCTCAGCTTTGTCCAGACCTCCTTTCCATCACGGCCTCGACCTCGGCTTCGTGCGGTGCTTGTGGCTTGTTTGGGGATCGAGGGTCGTGGT